GGTCCAACCGCGCAGCGCAGCGCGGCCGATGGAGGCGCTGTTCGGGGCGGTGCCGCTGGAGGGACGAGCGCTCCCCTGCTGGGTGCAGCGGCAACACCTCCTGCAGGACGCCTTGAGGCGTCGCGGGTTCCGCGGAACCCGCGGCACGGTGTGGAAGTGGTGGAGAGATGAGAAGGGGGGGCTGTGCAGAAGTGGTTCATGGTCAGAGGCACTCGGCACCTGCGTTTAGCTTTAAAGACAGGGAAGCCATGGGGCAGAAAGGCATTCGCAAGCGATCAGTGATGTATCTATGTGCCGAGACGGTCCATCTTACCCCATCACGCAGCGTTTCGCGGGACACTTGAGCGGGGGACGAGCTCCGGTGAACATCCGTTTGAGCCTCGAAAAGCGGATGTTTCTGAGAGAGGCCCATGCTGGAAGCGGTGTATGCAGCACCCTCAGGCACCGCGAACGGGATGAACGTGGCGAACGCCGAACGCAGGCGGTATGTTGGTGACGATTCGATGAGGACTTGAGATCAATCACCATGTTCTTGCTACCTCTTAGTCTAGGGTTTACACATTTCAGTCCAACTGTATCGGTGAAGAGTCTAGTAGAACACTGCGCACCTCGTGCTGATCCTGCCATGCAACGACTGCAGCCAAGCGCTGCAGTCGTTGATTGGCTTTCTAAGTTGCAGCAGTCGATCGTTTGCTGCGGCGAATGCACCTCGGTTCGCTGAAATAATCGGAGATCCCCCTTGCATGGATGACCGCGGCATGGGAGATCCTGTCTGCATATTTCTACGTGGGGGATGCCCTGGCTCCGTCGCTCCAGCTCCGACCCGTTCGGTCGGATCGTGTGGCGCCAGGGGCCCAAGCGGTGGCCGTGGCGCAAGACTTGGCCAGGCTTTGGGAAGCCGCCAGCCAGGCGCGACACATTCCCCGTGGTCAATTTCTATCAAAGATCACCGTTGTGCGGTCCGTTGAAGCGTTGGATCGTTTTTCTGTTGGAGACCGTGAGTGTTGTCGTTTTGCGGGGCTGTGTGGTCGTCATCCTCAACAGATCCACCCTCAAAGGAACCTAAAAAGCCTTTAGCGGTTATATAAGGGGTGTCCACTAACCATGGCCGCAAAGGGGAGGCCCTGGCATACCCTTTTCTCCGAGTCCGCGGCACTGTGGATCTTCCTGTGTTAGCCTCTTCTCTGCATATTCTAGCCGCATCACACAATCACAAGGTAGATATACCGATGTACCAGCAACCAAGGGGCTTCAGATGTGTTGAATTCCCAAGTCCACCCATGTATACCCATGTCTGTGTCCTTTTGATTTCTTTGAGGGTTCGTGTCTCGGTTCTGGACTTGAGATTGAAATTCCGGCTCAAGCTGTCACGGCTCAAGCTGTGAAGCGGTCGCAGTTTTGGAATCATGGGCCGGTCCTTTCTTCACATCCTATGTCTCGCCCTTGTGGCGAAAGCCGAGGAGGGGAAGGATGCTAGCCACTACAAGCAAGTCGGGCAAGACTTCTTAAAGGAGAACAAAAACCGTGAAGGGGTGGTGACGCTGAAGTCGGGACTCCAGTACAAGGTCTTAAAGAAGGGCACTGGAAAGTTTCATCCGAAGAAGGACACCACCTGCAGCTGCCACTATGCTGGTACCACCTTGAGCCTCACTCCTACTGCCCTTGAGCTGCCCGAGGATCAGTGGAAAGAGTTCGACTCCTCCTACAAGCGCGGCTCGCCCACCGATTTTGCTCCGAACCAGGTGATTAAAGGCTGGACGGAGGCAATGCAACGTATGGTGGAGGGAGACAAATGGGAACTGTATATTCCTTCGAAGTTGGGCTATGGCGATGGAGGCAGTGGTGAGAAGATCAAGGGTGGTGAACTGCTCATCTTTCGGATGGAGATGATGAAGATCGTGGGGAGTGGTAAGGTGAGAGCCACCAAGTGTGACTTGAAGTCGCGGGAGAACTGCGAGCCGCAGGAGGTGGCCCTCCTCGACAAATGGGTGAAAAATCCGGACCTCGAGAAGGAGGTGGCCAGGCTGAGCAAAGAGAGCGAAGGGACGTTGAAGGCTCAGGCCAGAGAGAAGGTGACCTTCGAACTCAGTCTGTTGAAGCAGATCCTGAAGGCCAGGAAGAAGGGTGAAGAGCTTTGAGATGCTTTGAGCGAGTTCGAGACGGAGTAGTAGAGTTCAAGACAGCAGGCGCCTGCTGTGCTTATTGACCCGCAGAAGACGAGGCCAAGTCGAAAAGAGGTTCAGGTGGGACATTGGGAGCCTCGATCTCAAGTCAGCTGGAAGATTGGGGGATGTTTTCCCACCAAGACCAAGTGGGTGTTCCAGATCCCTTGGAGAATTGATCTCCGTCCGACTTGTTGGTCTGTTTTCAGACTGATCCCTCATGATCTCTAGTCTGAGCTAGTAGCAGATGCTGCTTAACACCTGCAGCTGCCGGGATGAAGGATTCATTCCACGACTCCACGACCTTGTCAGGGTGGTGCACGGCTGACAGTCCAGTCCGCTGGACGGACAGGCACGGCTGACAGGGGCGAGGGGAGGGGGGGGAGGGCTGCGAGGGTTTGAAGCATATGGACACCAGAACAGGTTTGAAGCACAAGCATGGTAGCTAATCCTGCCTTGTTGAATCCTTTGGATACATCATTTTGGCCCGACCAGGACAGCTCCCTCGAAGCATCATGATGAGATTTTGGACACGACAGGTCGTCACAGTTCTTTCAGAAAAGGGGCGGCAAGAAGCTAGTCTGAAGTATTGAATGCCACTTGGTTCAGGACACCTTTCCCCTCTCTTTGAATTCTATCGATTCACACCTCCAACGGCCAAACAAGAAGGAATGCATGTGTTTTGATGCGCCGATGTTTTGATGACTTGTTGGGCTTCGACGCGACCCGTCTCTCTTTTCGGAGTCGTCCGTGAACGACCTCGCTGCCTTCCCGTGCTGCGCTGGTCCTTTTAACATGGGCCGTTGGTGGCCCTGTGCCACGCGGCCGAACGTGGCAGGCTTAACCACCTACCAGGCCAAGGTGCAGCGCGCGAGCCGAGGTGCGCGGCTTTTTGGGCAGAACAGACATTCTTCTGGTTGGTTTTCCATTGGGATGAGATTCTCTTGAGAAAGAGTTGTAGTGTGGATACAAGAAGACTCCAAGGGTTGGAACACAAACCATCGAAAACACCCCAAAACTCATTCATATCTTAGCAACTCTTAAGGCATACCACAGACTTTTCCGCTCCCCTGGTCATGTTGGTTGTCGACTTTTGTTTACAAAGCTCGGCGGTTGTTTTTCCTGCTGGATGGCCGACCTCAAAGAGTATTCTCCGCTACCTGTTAATTTTTTTTTAAAATCTTTTTACAGGGGAGAAACGATACCGAAAGTCTATGAGTCTATGAGTGTGTGTTTATTTTTTTAGTTTTAATTCCCCAATAGCCATGCTATGGGGTCTTGCAAAACTAATAGGCGGACAGGCGCCATCGGGTCACCGTCAGAGCTGGTGGGCGGATGGTGTCCCGGTCATGTTGTGATAGTGTCCCGGTCATGTTGTGATGGTGTCCCGGTCATGTTTTGATGGTGTCCCGGTCATGTTGTGATGGTGTCCCG